GACATGATTTTATTCTTTGATTGGAGCAGGAAAAGCACATGTTCCAGAACGAACATGGAGTCAGACTCTGATGATCAGCAGAATCCGGCTGTTGAAATAAAAAGCCGAAGAAAAAATAAATAAAAATAACCATATTTTGTCAAAAAATGAATAGCCAAAATAATCTGATGTATATCTTCTGTAGTTTCTGAAACTCGATTCATTAATTGTTGAGAACTTGATTTTAATGTGTATTTTCTTACTTCATAAGATGTAGATGAGGCAAAGCGCCGTTTAGCCTTAGCATTGCTATGCTTTCACTTATCTAACACTTTCATAGCAAAAGCAAGAGAAAAAAGACTTCAGGAAAAAAGAAGTCAGGTTATCAGTAAAATAAACCTGTGTATGAGTGTAAATACTTGACGTGTGAGCAAGAGATGGATTGTATATGTGTGTTCATGTCTCTCCATCATCCCCTTACAGCTTTGCAGCCTCTCAGCCTCTCAGCCTCGCAGCGCGGCAGAAAACTTCAGAAAACAGCACAAGTACTATCAGACATCTGCACTGCTTATATGGACATGGGCTACTAGCGTGAAAACTGAAGTAATTGTTTTACAAACAGTTCAAAAGCCAAAAATGAAAGAGTAAAGCGACAGAAAGGAGGTTGTCTTGATGACAAACGTGTATGTGCTGTCGGGAGTGGAAAAGATGATGGTATTTTCACTCGATGATAGAAGTTGGTGGGAGAAGGAGTGAAAACATTCTATGATATTATTGGTTAGTATAGTTTTTCCTGCCCACTGTAACACAGTGATGCAGCTAAACATCATATGAGGCAGGCAAAAGTCACTACGCTACAATCAAAGATTACAGAGAAACAATAATTTTAATGTGCTTAATGTAACCAAGGACATGAACTAGGTAAAAAAGGCCCCTTTTGATTTCAGGTTGACTTCAAGCAGACAGGAACTAAAGCGCTTTTTGGCCCATTTGTCTTATATAGGCATGCAAAATCTTGGCGACTGTACGTCACGTCAACTGTAATGGCAGACCAGAGGTTTGACAAACCTCTCACAGTTTTTTTACTGCCTTAGTTACATAAGAACACACTTTGAGTTTGTACAGAAGGGCCGTGCATTTGCAATGCTTTGGCCGGATATTATCATTTGCGATCATGTACTTGCGTTGAGTATGTTCCTGGCCGTATAGTTGGATTGTGGGATTGGACAGGTGCATTGAGATGCAATGAGACATGCTCTTTCTCTCTCTCTCTCTCTCTCTCTGAGTCTGTCTGGCTCTATCTCTTTCACTGTTTGTGGACTCAAAGTATGTCCATCAGAACAGTCCATCTGCAGTCCATCCCTGCTGACATTGAAGCTACATTATTTCACTGATGAAGTGAAAACAGCATGAGGTCAAAACTGTGGTCTTGTCTTTTATTTTCAAGGTCGAAATCGAATGCTCATTTGATTGATTTCCAATTCTGAATCAGAATTGTACAGCCTGGCTGAGGACAGGAGTAGATTTGAGATTCGCACTGTGCTCGATGTACTGCAGGGCTTTGACCTTGAGCACTGCTGTCCACTGAGGAGTTTAAGACTTCGACAACATGCCCCGAATTTTTATTATTGCAAGAGAAGAAGAAATGTTTTTATTCTGTGCACATGTTTTAAGGAGGGATTGATAAAAGCCACAGGCACTGCTATCAGATATCTGCTCGATTTCCTGCCTGTGTTGCACTAGGCCCTGATGGTGTGCGTGTGTGTGTGTGTATATGAGGTTGGGGTGTGGGCCTCCAGCTTGTGACGGAGGGGCGGCGCTATCCTGCTAATCCTCTGTTTTCACACACAGCTGTTTCCTGTTGAGAGTGCGGGCCAGCCTAGGGGCCTTTGTGCGACACACACACACATGTACACACTACAGGACACAACTGGCTCTCACAGACAATGCCCAGTGAAATACCAAGGCCACAATGCCTACCACCCAAACAAAAAAACACACGTGTCAGGAAATAAGATTCAACACTAATTTTTGTTAAGCTTCTTGAGCTTCTGTGTTTGCTCAGTTCTGGGTATTCCATTCTGTTATGACCAGTGTTCAAGTGTCTTTTCTGGAAAACCAGAGGAGACTTCAAAGTTGGGCAACAAAAGTAAATTATCAGCAGTAAGTACTCGTTAGGACAGCAGGCGTAATTGATTCTTGGAAAGGGCCAGTGTTGACACAGTGTTCTGCCTGCTATCTCTCCAGGGCTTGGACATCCCCTCAGTCTGCTTTTTCAGTGCGGTGGACTCTTAGCTGGACTTTGACCTAGTGCTTGTATAAACTATAAGAATGAACATGAGAGACCGTAATGCCCCCAACAAGATGTATACCTTTATGATCACAGTGGTATGCTATATAGGATATTTCACTGAGTTTATAAGGATTAGGGCATGACTGATATGAACATTCTGTGGATCATACAGATTTTAGGGGGCTAATAATTTCAGAAACCAATCATTTTGGCCGATATAAATTTAAGATTTTACATCTTAATTTTATACTCTAATAGTTTTGCTATTAGAGAAAGCTGCACTATGTTAGAGTTTAGCATTATTGTCAGGAGAAAAAAATACACTAATATATGGGGTCCATACACTGCTGCGAGTCTCCCTACAAAGCCTGAAATAATCACTTAAAAGTCAGACATGTCGGATTTTGAACATACTTTTACAAGTTAATATCACAATCACAGGTTCAAAAAGAAGGTCCGGCTCGATGTGTAGGTCTTGAATACAAAAGCAACATTATACTGATAAAATATGATGACAACAGTAGATAATTCATACTCTGAAAAAGACACATCTTTCACGTTGTTTTGTTTTGACCGAGTTCTCTTTCAACATGCTTGCAATCATCAGATTCATCTGCTCGGGAAAGGGATCCAAAGCACAAACCATGTTACAAAATGGTTGTGTGCAATTACACATTTCTACCAGAGAGGTCTCCAAATCCCCAAATCTTACATACTGTAGCTTGAAGTAAGAAAAATATTGTAGCAGTGGTGGGAAGAGCTACCCAGAACACTGATCTCTGTGAAATACCTTTAATATTTCTTCATTTTCCTTAGTTGATGTATTTTACTTAGTTTATATATCATCTTTTTGTTAAATTAGCCATATTGGTGTTTTGTTACCAGTTCAGGCTGTATTGCTGTGCTCAGAGGTGGGTGATAACTAATAACTAAACTTTTACTTCTACTCTGTTGTACTAGTGAGTAAAGGAATCTGCTTTTTACTCGGTTACATTTTAGCCATTCTTATTTAAATTATAATTTCTTTTTTGCATTATGTTTTATTGGTGACAACATCTGTACTGACTTTGGAAGTTTAGCCTTTTATTGTAGACCAAAAAAATCCCAAACAAAGAAGAGTTGTGCCTAACAAACTGAAGTTCCTAAGCTGATAGATGCTGGGTGGACTAAGAGGTTCCACTGCAGTTCTAAAAGTTATTCAGTCATTATTTTGCCAAAGTATTAATACTTGAGTATGCATTTAAGCTGCCGTACTTGCCTCTGGCTGTGATATAGTTAAACAGGGGGTTTTTCCCCTATCATTGGGAAGTTTTAAATCCCAGTGATGCTGCAGCCAAAAAGGTCAATAATTATCAGTGATGATTTTATCAATACAAATAAAACCACAATGTTATGTTGGTCAGGCTGTCTTTTGTTTTCGATTGAGATTATGGATCATGTTTGTGGCCAAACTCAGGTACTGTAAGAAGAATGTGATTGAAGGCAGTAACCATTTTAAAATGTGTTGCTTAACCAAATGTAGATGCTAAAGGAGAGTTTCAGAGAACTACTTCTCATTTGTTACACATTGTTTATGTCTCTGTTAACTGTGTCAGTGGAGTGCTTTCCTCTTCAGATGACATTGCACTATACAGTTGGGTCCATTATTTGGACAGTGACAGTTTTTGTCATTTTTACCTCTGTACACCCCCACAATGGATTTGATATGAAGCAGTCAAAATGTGATTGAAGTGTAGAGTTTTATTACATAGTCCCTCCATTTCACAGGCTCAAAAGTATTTGAACAGTTGACTGATAAGTAGTTGCATGGCCAAGTGTGACCTGTTCCCTCGTTATTTCATGACAGATTAAGGAGATAAAACGTCTGGAGTTGATTCCAAGTGTTGAATGTGTATTTGGTAGCTGTTCATGGGAAATCTCAATATACAGTCCAAAGAGGTGTCAATGCAGGTGAAGGGGACCAACGTTAGGCTGAAGAAACAGAATAAATCTATGAGAGAGATAGCAAAAAACTTTAGGAGTGGCCAAATCAACAATTTGGTACATTTTTAAGAAGAAGGAATGCACTAGTGAGCTAATTAACACCCAAAGGCCTAGAAGACCACAGAAGACAACTAAAGTGGATGATCGCAGAATTCTTTCCATGGTGAAGAAACACTTGACTGCTTCATTTCAAATTGATTGAGGTGGTGTACAGAGGCAAAATTGCAAAAATGGTGTCACTGTCCCAATACTTATCGACCTTACTATATATCTGTCTGTTTAGCTTTAGCTCTTTGTATTTGACGTTCTGCTGATGGGCAATATTTTGTAGGAGTATTCAGCCTAATTCTCAGACAAAGATAGGAACATCCTGTTAGTTCCAGACTTTCCATTCCCGAATTAGAACAGCTTTGGAGGGGCCTGATTGTGCCCCCTTTCTGTTTTGCTGAGATATTTAGAAGGGACTTTTTCAAATAAATGACATTGTAAGCTTGATTGTGTTTTTCAGCTTGTTGCTGTGTGTGCTTATCCACTGTTGTCTTGAAGCAAAAGATGTTCATTTGGATGTGGTTTAATTGCAGTAAGAAAATAGCTGTGGGCTTAAATTGGCTTCTGTAACTGAAATTATGAGATGGGACTTGAACTCCTCAGATTCTGAACTGAATTGTTTATTGTTCTCTGTTCTGCTGCACAATTTGAAATGCACTGTATGACAATTCTATTTCTGCGGTTGTTCTTTTTACAGAGTGAATCGGTGAAGTATTTCCTGGACAACTTGGATCGGATTGGGCAATTGGTGAGTCATGATGCCTCAGCACTTCTAAATGGTCCTAGTTGCTTTACGATATCCTGTTAAACTGCGCAATGATGGATGTTTTCCAGTGCACTTCCAAAAAGCACTTTCTCTGGTCAGTTGTTCCCGGACATATCTAAGATTATACAGTCTGTTTTGAGGATTGTAATCAGCAGAGGACCGTTCTGTCTAGCCACTCTGTGCATGTTGTTCTCTGTCCACTGGTTAGGGCCATTTGTGTTGTCCTCTGTATGCTAAAGAAAACATTTATGGACAGGATCAGGAACTGATTCTAGGACAGCACGCTTTACTTTGAGATGATTGATAGATAAATCCGATTGTGCTCAGATGACACCATAATAACACACTATTGGTAGGCAGGGTGGCGGTAACAGTGTGGATATCCTGAGCATGGTGAAGATCTTTGCCCTCTCATGGTGTGCTGTGGAACAGGATTAGTAAGTGTGACGCAGGGGTTGCCAGGAGCCTGGATAAGAAAACATGTAGCTCTAGTCTCAGATGAGCGCTAAAAAGCAAGAGCGCTGGATGTGTTTTGTGTGAGCTGTCTTGGAAACCGAGATCGAGGCCAAAAAAGAGTCATGTGAAAGGCTTTTGGAATGGAAGTGACATGGGAGGCTATCTCTTCTTGCTGTTGTGTTGCAGTGGCAAGGTCTTGTAAAGTTGTGCGGATTTATGTCCTCAGACAGGCCCTCTGGCCCCCAGGAGAGCCTTTCAGTGCTGGTTGAATTTCACACACAGAATTAAAAATATTAGACAGCTTAAACGGAGCACTAGAGGAAAGATTCATGACTAAGGTTACTTAAAGGAATAGTTTCTTGGAAAAATTGTATTAATTTACAACATTTTCACCTTGTAGTTAATCAGTCAAGACATGTTGGTGTCCAAAGTTTGCTTTTGTTTTTCACTGGTGCTATGAGGCTAATGTAGCTAACAGGTTTATACTCTTAACACTTAACCTTTGTGTTCTGTTCACTGCTTAGTAATGGATGTACTATTCACAGGTCATATTGACCCACACCATCTACTTTACCAGGACAGTTACACTACTTATTTTTAAAACAGCTAATATACCTTTTCATTATCTCAGTTATTTGCAATATAAGGGCTATATATGTTGTTGGGTGAGCTTTACATATACAAGAAGTATCAGTGCTATATAATTATTAATACCTCCTTAATTAGATATATAAAATGTGTTTTTAACTGTGTGTTATGTCATCTTATTCTTTTCAAACCTCTTCTTGTTACAAATGTATATGATGCATTTTGGAATAAAATATATATAACGGTGTGTCTTACAGTATTAGGAAGCACATAAGCAAGTCAATTTGAAATTACTTGACTCGGTTTGAGACAACAGTGTGATGAGTTGGCTGACTAACTTCATTTGGGGTAAGAATTCGTATAGATTTGATTTTTTGCCAAGCTATTCTGTTAAGTAGGTAAAAGATCTCAGCCAACACATTCATCCAAAGTGCTCAAACCAAGCCTGGGGCACTGCTCCATGATTTGTTTTATAACGTCTCTCCTGTGATGCTATTGAAAAGACAGCATTTATTGAGCCTGTCTTAACATGAAGCCTATAAATATAATGTGCAGTATTAAATGGCTTCCTATATTGTAGTCAATACTGTTGTAGTATTAATTACTACTTCATTATGATCCTTTTTCCAATAATGTTGTACTATTAATTATTATTTGATTACAGTCCTTCTTCCTAAACCTATGTTACCCTTTATATCTTCACTAGAATTATGTCCCAAGTCGTCAGGACATCCTACTGGCCAGGAAAGCCACCAAGGGCATTGTGGAACACGACTTTATCATCAAAAAGATCCCCTTTAAGATGGTGGACGTGGGTGGCCAGCGGTCACAAAGGCAGAAGTGGTTCCAGTGCTTTGACGGCATCACCTCCATTCTCTTCATGGTCTCGTCCAGCGAGTACGACCAGGTGCTGATGGAGGACCGCCGCACCAACCGCCTGGTGGAGTCCATGAACATCTTTGAAACCATCGTCAACAACAAGCTCTTCTCCAATGTCTCCATCATCCTCTTCCTTAACAAGATGGACCTGCTAGTGGAGAAAGTGGCCAAGGTCAGCATCAATAAGTACTTCTCCGACTTCCGTGGAGACCCACACCGGCTGGAGGATGTGCAGGCCTACCTGGTGCAGTGCTTCAACCGGAAGCGCCGCAACCGCAGCAAGCCCCTATTCCACCACTTTACGACAGCCATCGACACAGAGAACATCCGCTTCGTTTTCCATGCCGTCAAGGACACCATCTTGCAGGAGAACCTCAAAGACATCATGCTGCAGTGACTGAGAAATCTCTGCCAGCCTGATGGAACTCTGCCACTGTAATTTTGCCACTGTGAGAGGAAACTGCCTTCTGGACATCATTTCTAGCCAGTTTCAGCAGGCTAGATGAATAGGTAATAAACAGCGATAATATTGGTTATGTAACTAGTATTACTGCTTTTATGTAAGATAGCACCAACCATGTGGTCAACTGTTTGAAAAAAAGAGACTATTGGGCTATTGTAAGGACTTGTACCACTATGTAAATGATTAGGGTGAGACCACAGAGAATCGAGACAAGTTGTCTGTTTAGTAGAACTGAAATTATGACAGTAGCATGTGAATATGGACATTTGCAATATGAATATTTGAAAAAAACACTGAGATTTGTTTGTATGTATATGTGTATGTATGTGGAGGAAAACGGAGGCGAGCAGCAAGTGAGCAAGTGTAAAAGCTTCAAATTCTGATTCGAGCTTATTGCATTTAGAGATGCTGCAATGGAGTTAGTCATGATGAAGCTGAAATTAATCACGGACGTCCTGACTGCTCCTAATCACGCTTCATCTGTTTTCCTCTGCAATGCTGTACAAAAGGCCTTATTAATTAAAAACAATGGGGACCTTAGTGAAGCCAAGAACATCTGACAGTGTTGTACGTCAGCAAGTAAAAATGGCTCAACCCAAAAATTTCTTCCGTGGCAAACTTTGAGCATCTCTTTATGGATGTACATTCCCATTGCTTTCTCAATCTCACAACATTATCCAAGCACTTCTGATTCTGACCACATCATTTCTTCAACAACTACCCACCGAAAAGCTTTGTAGCTACTCTTCTGCACTAACATTTACATTTGACCCCTAGGTGTTGAAATTTTCCATATTATTTCAATGTAATAGCAGTTTTATATGCAAACTCAAGTGGGTCCTTCAGGAGTGTTATCTCTGAATTTAAGCAAGACGTTATGCAAAATGTGTGTAATTAATTAAACAGGGTTTTTTGTACATAGATGTCATAATCTCTTTTTATGGACATTTCCATAAAACATTTCCAGTATTTTCCAGTGCTTTTGACTTTCACATGTCTCTCTCTGGGTTGCGTCAAGCTACAGGTGTTCTTCATTGATTAATAGGGTCAAATCACTGGTGATACCATTCAGTCAACACTAACTTCAGATGTTTAAGGTGTCTTGAAATGTCATTTCTGCACTGCATGCGTACTTTATGTTTTGGGATAATGATGTGGATGTTACTGCAAAGAGTCTCCTGTGGTTTCAGTGGTTCACTTTGTGTATTCAGTTTATCAGACTGCAGAAAGATACAAGAAGAAGAAAACCTGGAGCCGGCCAGCCAGTCTGATCTCAAAGAGGAGGCGAAGAGTTTCTCCCACAGCTTCGGCTGAGAAAGGAGGCTTCTCTGTGTCCAGGAGCGGCTCAGTGTGTGTGTGTACTTCGGTATGATTTATAGAGTTGTGAAGCTCCCCCACTGGTAGAACACTGTGAACCTCCCAGAGGTATTTGTGAATGCTGAGGGCACTCTGATGTGGGGGGATTGACTTTTTCCCTGGCTGTTTCCTACATCACAGGCAGCCTGTGCTGACTCATGCACTCTCCAGAGATGGAGCAGCTCCTTCAAACGGCCTTTTACACGCAGGTGTCGCTTCGTGGATGTGTTTATTCTGTGGTGTTTTTGTATGGAAAGTTTGAGGTATGTTCTAAAAGTGCACCTAAGCACATCAGACTCTTCCCTAGTTGTACTGAGTGCGAAGTATGTCATCCATTCCCTGCTAACCAAAGAAGAGAACGTGAGCTGCGACACTTTCTCATCAAGATCCCTCAAAAGCAGCAGAAACACGGGATCTGCAGGCTCAGGCCTGATAAACGTTACCCTCTGTCCTCTTCTTCTGAAATCAGCAACAGCCCATCTGACCCTTGTAACCAGGTTAGGCCGCAGGGGCCTTGATACACGCTAGTAAATATGTGGTGTTGTTTTCAGCTGCACCCTAATGCCTCAACCCTGGAAGCGCCTTACGACAGCGTACATGTGAAAGCTGGATGCCTCTTTGGTTCACATGCCGCCTGTCAAGTGGAGCGTCTTCTTCCTCACACTCTAAATCTGCCTTTAAGAAAAAGAAACTGTGCTCGGTTGCGTTTAATGAGCATTTAATGTAACATGTCTAATTTAATAAGCTTTCAGAGGAGTGCAGATGGCAACTAGCAGCTCACAGACAGTCATTTTGTTCCACCGAATGAAAAGTAATAAACCCCTTGAATATAATTCATTAAAAAGGTGGTTGAACAGGTCCTAATGCAAATCAGTGCACCATGCTCTCTGAGAAAATGTAGAGTCTGCAAATGTTCAAACCTAAATTTCAATTTCAGTCTACTGACAATTCTGGAAGCTTGATATCTGTTCTAGTCTGCTCTGATAAAGAATCACTAACAGCTATCACTGGTAATATGATATCTACTTCCTCATTAGCATTATATGATACTGTACTGTTTCTGACCAACTGTGTGACTTTCAAACATCTGTTTCTCTGTTTTTATGACTCTAGTGACTGTAAAAATTGTGAAAATTTCAGATGAACTGTATTACTGATGTTTTGTATATAAGAACTGTATAAATACAATAAACATTGTTAATGTTGAGTGGCATTTTCGACACTCCATACTACAGTTACTCCATACACCGCTATTATGATTTCTATCTATAAATCATTTTATATATAGATAGACACTTTCAATCCTAAATCAGATTTGTCCTGATTTGCCCCTCATGAGAGCTGAGTCCATGCATTTCCTATGGACAACTCAGTACAATTTCAAACAGACGAAAACAAACATGCAAGAGTTAAGAAGCGCAGGAAATCTCGCCCCCCCACCACCACCACCCATCACCCCACGTGGGCCTTATGTTTCTTAAGTGCCATTTTAACTAGACTACTAACATATTCTTACAAAAACACCCCCTGCCTCACTGTTGCCAAGTCTGTGGTTTTTCCACAGAACTACACGACTTTTGATGTGCAGTCATTGGCGGGTTGGAGTTCTTCTGGCCCCTGAATTTCAGCTTTATTCCCAGATTTAACTTTAAAGTGCCTGTATGTTAAATAGTCAAATAAAAAAGAGAATAAGCACATGGTAGCTTCGTCCTTAAATGGCCCATATCTTGGAAAACTGAATTTTCCTCACCTTCCTAATATGGGTTTGATGTAGTATGTAAAAACTGTTAAAGTTTCAGAATGTCCATACAGTGCATGTACGAAAATAAGCTGCAAAACAGCCCTTTTTGCTTTAATTGTTTTTATGATGTTACAAAGAAAGTGCATTTACATGTTTTCTTCTATTTAGCCTACAGTAGTTTAGCTCCGGTCACTCATGATTAAGATATAAGGAATGTTTTTGCTTGGACTGCTTTCTGAATGAGACACAATACAGGACAGACAATCAGAACAGAGCTCGTTTACATATATGAGTCTGAAAGGCACAGTAACAAAACCAGCTTATTTAATTGTAAGAGAAAAAAGAGGTTGGAAAATGGTCATGTAAAATGGTATTTTGGTACGTTAACCAACACAAATATTTATCTTAGTTTATTTTCTATAACCACATTTTCAAAAAAGTTGTGATGCTGTGCAAAATGTGAATAAAAACACAATGCAATGATATGCAAATCATTTATAACATATTTCACTGAAAATAACACAAAGACAAACATATTAAATAATGAAAAACTGAGAGATTTTATTGTTTTTTTTTTTTTAAATATATGCCCATTTTGAATTTGATGGCAGCAACATGCCCCAATAAAGTTGGATCAGGTGCATGTTTACCACTGCGTTCATCACTTCTTTTAACAACACTGTATAAGTGACTGGGAACTGAGGAGACCAACTGCTGTAGTTTTGAAAGTGAAATGTTTTCCCATTCTTGCTTGATATAGGATTTCAGCTGCTCAACAGTTTAGGGTCCCCTTTGTCATATTTTTCATTTTATATTGTGCCAAATGTTTTAAATGGGTGACAGGTCTGGACTGCAGGGAGGCCAGTTTAGCACCTGGACTCTTTTTACTATAGAGCCATGCTGTTGTAATTAATGCAGAATGTAGTTTGACATTGTCTTACTGAAACAAGCAAGCCTTCCCTGAAAAAGACGTGATCTGGATGGCAGCATATGTTGCCAAAACGTGTATATATCATTCAGCATTAATGGGGCCTTCACAGATGTGCAAGTCACCCATGCCATGTGGACTAATGCACACCTGTACCATCATGGATGCTGACTTTTGAAGCTGGGTGGTCTTTAGCCCAGCGGACGCAGTGTCCATGATTTCTGAAAAGAATTTCAGATTTTGATTTGTCGGACCATAGGACACTTTTCCACTTCGCCTCAGTCCATCTTAAATGAGTTCATGCCCAGAGAAGGCAGCTGTGTTTCTGGATCCTGTTTATAAGTGGTTTCTTCTTTGCATGGTAGAGTTTTAACTTGCATTTGTGGATGGAGAGATGAACTGTGTTCACAGACAATGGTTTTCAGAAGTGTTCCTGAACGCATGCAGTGATTTCCTCTACAGAACCATGTCTGTTTTTAATTCAGTGCTGCCTGAGGGCCCAAAAATCACAGCCAGCCAGTATTGTTTTCGTCCTTGTCTCCTGCATACAGAAATTTGTCTGGTTTCTCCGGATCTTTTGATTTTGAAAATTCTATTCTTGAATTGTTGCAGTACAGAGTGCGGAACTCCTCCCCATCTTTACTTCTGAAAGCCTCTATGGGATGTTTCTTTTTATGCCCAACCGGGGCACCGGGTGTTTTTTTTATTAACCATCGGGTGTTTTTTAGCATTAGACAACTTTACCTTCTTTTATTGCTGCTGTTCCAACTTTTTGAAATGTGTTGCTAGCATCAAATTCAAATGGACTTATATTTTTCAAAAAACAATAAAATTTCTCATTTGGTATGTTGTCTTTGTACTATTTGCATATCACTGCATTCTGTTTTTATTTAATTTTGCACAGCGTCCCAACCTTTTTAAAAACGGTGTTGCAAAACAAATGACTGTGCATTTAAAATCTGTTTGAAGAGATTAAAAACCAGTTAGACTTATATACAGTTGTATGCAAGACAATAATCCGGGTGGTCCAAGGGTGGACCAGCAGTAGCATACAGTGAGCAGGGTGCAGACCTCATTGAGGCAGTGGACTGACATACACTTGCTATCTGGGACATGAACCTTGTAAGAATCACACATTGTTTTTCATTTGGAATAGGGCTAAAAGTGCTATAGTTTCCCTACATTACATTGCCTGGCCATTTTCTTTGTCTGTAGTGACACAGCTGCTTTCAAAACCACATATTATACTATACTATACTGTACTATTCTATACTACACTAATGATATACCACAGTAGTGGAGTACTACTATTTGTTATGGTAGTATGCAGCTTTGAAAGCAGCCCACATTTGTATTCTGTCCTCGAAAAAGAGGCCTACAGTGATGCTCACCTAAATAAAACTCCTGTTGTAGCCCTGCAGAAGGAGGGAGATAATGTTTAAGGACACAATTGGCCCTTTCTTCAGGCTGAGCCTGGCTTACTTCCACGAACTAAAACTCATGACTCTTGTTATCCTTACATTTCCTCTAGGCTGCCTTTCGCTGGACTTATAGTGAACTCTGATATTTACTAATCTACGATCAATGTGAGCAGCAGCTGCTGTGGAGTATGTGCCAGAGTTGCCAGACTGTTCAGCTGATGATAATAATTATGTTGTAGTGTGCTCCTTCATTTCGCCATGGGGAGTGGGGGGTCACATTTAAGGAGAATGGAGCCATTTCTTTGCCTGGTAAAGTTCTAGTTTGGAATGTATGTCATATGTTATCAGCGTAACTATTTGGAAACCACCTCTTTCATAAGAGTGAGAAAGTGAAGAGCAACAAAGTCGTTTTTGGAGCGAAGGCGTCCTCTGGTGGAGACATCAAAAATTACCCCGACTGAGAAACCCACTTCTGCTCCAGTTACAGATGCTTCATTAATACAAAAGCAATTTTAAAAGTATGATTTATTGAGAAAGGTTGTTTTTCAGAATATTTTCTTTTTCATATCAAGCTAGTGATCTAGCTTATGTTGCTTGGCTTATAAAACATGTCCTGATGGGCTGCTGGGTGAGGCTCTGTCAGTATTAATATCATGTTAAATTTATGTCATAGAATTGAATATATCATCTTTTCATCTGTTTAGTTGATGTTGGCAGCTCTTTATCAGCTTTTTAAAAAAAGCTTTCATTTCAGGCCAAGTAGGAGCTAAGGAGGACTTTTTGCAAGGCTGAACTTGCTTGATTTGCTCCCTACTCCCTTGTGTGCTGTATAGGTAATGAAACTAAGGACTCTACACTGAAATACCGCAATAAATGTTGGATAATGAGTCTTGCAGCTTATGGCTGAATATAAATGGCTTTATATTAGACACATAATGCACTAATTAGGTGTAAAATCTGTTATTTTGTAGCATCAGTGCAGAAGAAGACCTGGGGTCTGGCATTTTCTCTCCAGGAAAACACTCTTTATTTAAACAGCAGACAGAGAAGAAAACTAGCATACAGGGGAAAATAGGGGGAATAGCTCACCAGCAGCCTAACACAGCACAAAGATGGTAAAACACTATCAGCACGCTAAGTAGCTGAAAAGGACACGATTAAACAGAGCCAAGTTATAGCACATATTGAAAACTAATACACAACATTTGAACCATTAAATTTACCAAAAAGCTAAGAGTCCTGTACATACTCCTCTCTGCTCTTCCATTTGGGCCAAACCTGAAGTCCAGTGGTAGTGCCACACAGCTCCCACCTCAAGGGTCAGCCATCCCAGTGACTCACACAGCCCAAACAAAGTCTCTGAGGCTCACGGGCCTTGTGGCAATAATGCCTCCTGGACTGGTGGGGTCTTTGCTTAGCCGTGTCCTGATCACAGCAATTTCCGAACAGCCTGGCCATTAGAAGCTTTGCTGCAACTGCTTCAGCGTCTCGACCACACCAAAGTGTCCTTCGCCCAGCACAGATTACCAGCAGCTCCCACACCCGGCTCATTGTGCATCCGGAGGCTGTCCCAGCTGGCACAAAGTGCCTCAGCGGTGGGCCCATGTGGGGTTGTGTCTGCCCAGTCTGGTACAAGAGGGGGTAGGCGTAGCGCTTGGTACCCCCTTCCTCCAGGCTATGTCTTCTTTGTCATCCGCCTTTTAATTCGTTGACACCCTGCTTGACTTCTGCCAGCTTGGCAACTGTATCCCACTTCTGACACCAGTGTAGCATTGCAGCAAAAGAAGATGCAGTCTTTTTATTGATCCAGTCTCTTTATTGAAACAGCAGAAAGAGAGGGGAATTAGCACACAGGGAAAAGTGGGGGAAGGTCAGCAGCAGCCAAACCCAGCACGAAGATGGTATAACACTACCAGTTGTTGCATCATAATATCTTGGCCTTTATAGTGCACTACATAGGGAGTAGGGAGCCATTCAGATTCAATGTTAGAGTTAATTTAGAGTTCATTTGTTAATTTCATTTTTGGGGGTGGGGGTGGGTAGAAGAAGCTTTGATTTTGCAACCTTTGTCACAGACACTGTATGTATATATTTATACACAGTTTTTGACATAGTTTGAAAATGCCTGTTGTCATTTACATTGTGTGCAAATTTCACAGCCCAAAAAGTTCCACTGAGATACATTAAAAGTATTTTTTTTCCTTCTCCTGTAAAGTTATCACTTTGGAGATACGGGGTTTTGTTCCGCCAACAGCTATATATAGAGAGAGACGTGAAACCAAAACAGCTATAACTGTTTTATAACTGTTTTACAACTGAATGATCTGTGATGTCCTTACGTCCTTTGGAAAACATATTCTGAAGGAAGAGCAAAGCACTTTTTAAGAAATCACTTGGGGACAGGTCTAAACCTCTTAAACCTACTTTTAGACTTTGTATCTTACTTTTTATTATGAATCAGAAACGGTGTATCAATTATCTACCTTTACTCTTCGCGCACTCAGAGTCCTGTTCAGAAACATCGATCTCCAGAATACTCTTTAATGTAAACTGCGCGCGTATATGACATGGATATCGCGGGACTTGCTCCGCTACGTCACACGTTAGCCGACGTACAGCTCACGGGAAACGAACCTTCACGGGAAATACCAAGTTCACGAAAAAGGGGGAGACGAGTAGCACAAGATTTACACTGCTATAATTTACTGCTAGTAAGTGTATGAATGAGTTGTAAGGTAGTGTATGAAGATAACTTAAATGTCCGTACTGCGTTGCGCAGATTTATTTGAGAGATCAGTTGCTGTTGTCATTTCAGGCCCTCTGTCTTCAGATGGGTTTGGCTCACATGGCCTGTTCCTTTTCTCTGCGCAGGGTGGTTCGCGCCGGCTGCACCGCACATGGTCCTGCGAGGAAAAACGCTGGATTGCGATTATTAACATCAGCGGTACGCGTTAATTGCTCCTTATCGTCCACAACGACTCCTCGATGAGAGATACGGAAGACATGGACGCAGAGGTTGAGTTTGATGAAGGCGAAGAGCCTTCGTTCAGTGATCCGGAGGATTTCGTGGATGACATCAGTGATCAGGGTAGGTGGCTGTAAGAGAGCGGCCGGCTTCACTGAGGCCCGCCATCAGCCGCTAACCTTACGGGCATCACTCTAAAGCCTATTTAGACTGCGCAGCGAGTCTGTCTGTAGTCTGTAGTCTGTTGAACAGATTCGGCTTCAACACTGCTCGGCTTCTGGTTTACAGTAGCACTGCGACTGTAGTAGACAGGTTTCCCGGTCATTTTCATCCAGCGCAACGTTAGTTAGGCCATACGTATGATCCTGTTAACGTTTCCTAACAGCGGTCACACATGCACCGCAAGCTGTGTAATTTGGCCCAGAAAATCATGCTCTGTTGGTGCAGTAGGTTCATTTCCCAGCTTGCTAAGTCCAGTGTCTGAGCCTGCTGCCTTTATAAGCTGTGCATGCTAGCAAGCGAGGACAAAAGCTATCCGGCTAGGTAGCTAGTTATTCATGCTAGCGACTGAGGCGCGCCGAGCAGTAGAATCTGTCTCTCATGGCTAAACAGCTAGCTTAGTTACGCTAAGTTAGCGGGCTAGTAGGAATTGACTAGAGCAAGCAAACACTGCGTAGTCGTGAGCCTAATTTTTACCTTTAGCCTGGCGTTTCTGTTATTGAGGTTTTAAATAAACACGAGAAGTTTGAAGCGGAACGTTACGTTATCAGTAGTAACGTTATCTAGCTGACAATGTAACGGATGGGTTGATGCTTTCGATTTTCAGAAGCTTTTAAGTAAATGTTCACTGCTTTATTTTGTTTCTCTTTGGTTTAAGTCGGTGTTTTCCAATCCTGCTCATAGAGAACTGCATTACGCACCTGTTCTGGCACATTCATTTTAACCTAAGCAAAGGTTTGTTTCCTAAGCAGTTGTGTCAGAAGCTGGAAAGCCAGTTAAAATGTAACTGAAACACTAGCTCAAGTCAAACGTTTCAAGGTAAACTTTAGGCATTTGATTTGTGACTGTGTGTTGAGTGTTTATTTCATGCATTTCTTGCACTCTGCAGAGCTGCTGGGAGATATTCTCAGGGAGAAACCTCAAGAAGCTGATGGCATCGACTCTGTCATTGTCGTTGACAATGTTCCTCAAGTTGGACCAGACCGTTTGGAGAAACTCAAGAACGTCATCCACAAGATCTTCTCAAAATTCGGCAAAATAACCAATGAGTTCTACCCGGAAGCAGATGGCAAGACCAAGGGGTAAGTCCAAATTTGAACAATTTGCTGAAGGTTGGTATTTTGAAGGTGGACGGTATGGCAAGAGTATAATATTGCAATGCATCAAGAAATTTTCATGGTACACGACATGCCATGACGTTTATTTTTCCAGACATTTTATCAGTTGGAATAGAGAAGAAAGAACCATTACATTAAAAAAAAAAACAAACTGAGAATACAGTGAATACTTAACTCAGTATTTGACATACTGTGTTGCACTAAATCCAGTTAAATGGGATTAAATTTGAGCTTTTTATCATGAAACATGCAGTTGGTCAGTGTTCTGACACTATGCACAATATGTTCAGAAAACCGTACTGTATTGTAATGTGACGTAGTTTAACACAATGGCAATATATATTGTCACACACACACACACAGTAGCCCTGGCCAATAATAAATATAGTATAAAGATGTAATGGTATGTGTATTTCTTATGGATGTTCTCCATTGTTTAGGTACATTTTTCTGGAGTACTCTGTTCCAAGTCACGCACATGAAGCTGTGAAGAACGCTGACGGCTACAAGTTGGATAAGCAGCATACGTTCCGTGTCAACCTGTTCACTGACTTCGACAAGTATGTTCACTTAAATTGAGAATTTTTATGGGCTTTTAAAGCCACTTATATAGATGTTAATGCTGAAATGCTTTATTAAATGGTCTCTGGATTTTTTTCTGCAGGTATATGTCAATTAGTGATGAATGGGAGCCTCCTGAGAAACAGCCCTTCAAAGATTTTGTGAGTATCTTTGAGCAAGAAAACAGCTGACTTAGATGACCAGTGACTTGTAGTGAAAGTAGTTTATGCATGATGAACTTAAATATAACCGCTATTAAAGTTCTCAGCACATTTGTGTAATGCATTATTTTTAATCTGTATAGTGCTTGTGATTGTCTTGTAAAATGGTTAAAATTGGTTCTTGGCCTCTTTTAGTACTTAGTACAGTTAAGCTCTGTGTAGTGTTGAGGAGTAGGATACATGTAATAACAGATGATTTTCTTAATGTTAAATGCTGGTACATGTTTATGTTCACATATGAACAATGTTAAAAATGACCTAATAGCATCATTTAGATAAGTTGCTTCATTGATTAGACTGATTGTAACTGTATTTGTCAGCAGTCAGGTTGCTCTAATGGTGTAGTCCTTGGTTGTTCCAGTTTACCTTCTGTACTTGTTGACATGGCAACTACAGTAACAAAGCTGAATCAGCCTGTAAATGTTGGTCCACTACAACCAATAAAAACATCAGTTCACAGCCCACATGTGCAAATGTGTGAACATGAGCAAGCACACAGCTGGTGTCAAATACGTTTATCAGTACATCCTCCAGAAGCTATGTGGTATGTGTCTTGAGTGTGTCCTTATGCATGTTCTGTGTTTCTGATGAATTCACAGGGAAATCTGCGCCACTGGTTGGAGGACCCTGACTGTCGTGATCAGTACAGTGTGATCTACGATTCTGGTGAAAAAACTGGCATATTTTCCAACGATGTCAAGGAGCCCATTGAAGTAGAGGAGAGAGCGGTGAGTCATCTTACTTTTTCTTTGTCTCCTTCTCATGTCTTATACTCTTATATGCCTCGTAACATTTTCTGTTTCTCTGTTAGCGATGGACAGAAACATACGTGCGCTGGTCTCCTAAAGGTACCTACCTGGCCACGTTTCATCAAAGAGGCATTGCGCTTTGGGGTGGCGAGAAATTCAAACAGATTCAGAGGTTCAGCCATCAAGGGGTCCAGCTGATTGACTTTTCCCCATGTGAGAGGTATGTACAAACCTGCATAGCCAAATGAAGATGTTGGGGTGCAATAAGGGGTATGATTGTTCCGCTTGAGAGATAATTGTTGAGGGAGAATTTTTCAAAATTGATTTGGAACAGGTGTCCTTGTAAAATTGTAATTGGTAGTTTCTCTGGTAGTAGGGCTATAAGCATTGTTCAGTGTCATTGGTATTTAAGGCAGGTGCTTTTAGTTCTATGCTGTCTCATAACATTTGTATTTGTAATTTCTTTCAGGTATGTGGTTACATTCAGTCCTCTCATGGACACAAAAGATGACCCTCAGGCCATTATCATCTGGGATGTGTTGACTGGTCAAAAGAAGAGAGGTTTCCATTGTGAGAGTTCTGCCCATTGGCCAATCTTCAAGTAAGTCAAACAAAATTTGATGATTTATTTATTTATTGACTTTTAACAACTTGGGTGCATTATAACTTTCAATTATATTTTAAGGTGGAGTCCAGATGGGAAATTCTTTGCTAGAATGACTCAGGACACTCTCAGCATCTATGAAACACCAGTAAGTTTCTTACAGCAGGCTTTGTGTTTTAGAGACCTGATCATTTACGTTTTGTTTTGCATTTCTCAAATGATTCAACATATATTGACTTTTTTTCCCCTCTTCTAGTCAATGGGTCTTTTGGATAAAAAGAGTTTGAAGATAAATGGAATTAAGTAAGTTCAATAAAATACTTCAACTTTTAGAGTAACATTGCTTTTTCTTCAATATTGAGCATAAGTACCAAACATTTAGATGAAAAACAAGCTATTTGTAATTGCTTGTACTAATTGTTAAATGTGTCTACAGGGATTTCTCCTGGTCTCCTGGTGATAACATCATTGCGTTCTGGGTGCCAGAAGACAAAGATATTCCAGCAAGGGTGACCCTCATGCAGCTTCCATCCAGGAATGAGATCAGAGTGCGTAATCTGTTCAATGTGGTGGACTGCAAGCTTCATTGGCAGAAGAACGGTGACTATCTTTGTGTAAAGGTGGACAGGACTCCTAAAGGAACACAGGTAGTCAGCTCCTCATTGATGTTTAAATAGTTCAAAACTTTGCAGTGTTGACAGGCTTTTGGGTGAAAGGAGGAGATCTTTTGATCTAAACTCCACTTCCTTTGCTTCAGGGAATTGTCACAAACTTTGAAATCTTCAGGATGAGGGAGAAGCAGGTTCCTGTGGATGTGGTGGAGATGAAAGGTGAAAAGAGAGAAAGCTTCTCTGTGTTCCTGGGTCTTTTATCCTTTCTCTGGCCTAATGCTTTATATCCGTTTTACAGAGGGCATCATTGCCTTTGCTTGGGAACCTAACGGTAGCAGGTTTGCCGTGCTGCATGGCGAATCCCCCAGGATCAATGCATCCTTTTATCATGTGAAGAGCAATGGCAAAATCGACTTGATCAGTGAGTAGCTTATGCTTTTATATCACATTTGATTTGAATGTCATTTAGGGGAGCACACCTTCAAAGTATGCTAGAAAACTGAATTTTATTTTAATCTTTCTTTTTTTTTTAGAAATGTTTGACAAACAGCAGGCAAACAGCATCTTCTGGAGCCCTCAGGGCCAGTTCCTTGTCTTGGCAGGGTTGAGGAGGTTTGTCCTGCTAAACTTCTGTTAGTAGATTAAAAATACATTGTCCCCTTCCCCACACACATTCACTCTGTTTATTACTGACAGCATGAATGGCGCTCTGGCATTTGTGGATACCTCTGACTGCACCATGATGAACATTGCTGAGCATTACATGGCTTCAGACGTGGAGTGGGATCCTACAGGCAGATTTGTGGTGACTTCAGTCTCTTGGTGGAGCCACAAGGTCCTTATAAATCTTTATGTATTTGTGTAATCTATTAGGAGAAAAATGTTTCCAGTTTTTCAGTTATCCTCTGACTCCAAATCTAATTATTGTTTGCCCAGGTGGACAATGCCTACTGGCTATGGACGTTCCAGGGCCGTCTGCTGCAGAAGAACAACAAAGACCGCTTCTGCCAGCTTTTGTGGAGGCCCCGACCACCTTCTCTCCTCTCTCAGGAGCAGATAAAGGTGATGCAGAAACTCGCGCAGTTTGGATGTGATTATACATTCAGTGCTTGAACCTGGCAAGCGCTTAGCTGTGCTATTTCTCTGATTTTTACCAGGCCATCAAGAAGGACCTGAAGAAGTACTCCAAGATCTTTGAGCAGAAGGATCGACTCAGCCAGTCCAAGGCTTCAAAGGTAGAGCTTTGAGATTATCGTGTTTTAGGGATTTGTGTTTGTTTATCACGTTGATCTGTCATTTGTATCCAGTGTACTGACTTCAAGTCCATGTGCTTTGCAGGAACTGGTTGACAAGAGGCGCGCAATGATGGAGGATTATCGCAAGTACCGTGAGGATGCCATGAAGATGTACCAGGAGCAGAGACCCCTCCGCCTTGAGCTCAGAGGAGGTAGGTTCATTGAAGATCTTTAGTGCCTGCTGAAGCATTTTTTTTTTTCCTAATTTATGCTCCACAAAAAGTGTAAAGCTCACAAACAGACATGAAAAGAGGAAGGTACGAAGTGCAAACAGGACTATTCGCATGTCGTCGCTTTCATGTAGGTAGGACTTGTAGGCAAGTATGTAGAGCTCATCCTACCCATGTAGCCTTGTACTCATTCATTAAATATAGCAAACCTATCTGGGTTGCAAGGAGATGATGAAACAAGGAAAGGGGACTTGCCTATTTGGACCTAGTGCAGGCTCCAAAGCCTAATTTTCAAACATGAAAAGCAACTGTTTTTACTTTGTGTTCAAATGTGAGTGTTAAAGCATGTTGATCAGTACTTATTGGAGTCACTTTGGTACATGTTTGATTGATAGGTGTGGACACTGACGAACTGGAAAGCAATGTCGATGACTGGGAGGAGGAGACCATTGAGTTTTTCATCAATGAAGAAATCATTCCAATCGGCGATCTGTAGTCCCAATAGCAGGTAATGTCTTAATGTCTCTTCAGTAAAGTTACAGACCTGAGAGCTGTGCCATATCATTTCAGTACATTACTGAGTCCTGTTTCTGTTTTTCCTCCTGCAGAACAGTTTTATTTTTGAGGAGTGTGGTTGCATTGGAGGGAAACAAAATCGGGCATCTCTCTCCAGCGTATTCCTTGTTAACATCCAGCCAAGTGCCTTTTAATACTGGTTGCTGTGGAAGGAGAATTTCGTGCCACTGTTGGCTGGCATTGCTTTTGCCACCTTATCCAGCTCTGGGAGCCACCACCCTGCCGCCGTCACCCTGACCAGCACTTGGCGGGTTTTCCCTCTGGTTATTGCCTTTTGAGTTGAACGTTTACCTCGTCAGAAGGCCATTACCATGACCCCGCATGCCATGAATTGTTTTTACATCACCACATGGACGGAAGACGCTTTGTTTCTAGAGATTTTCCTTAAGATTAACATGTACTCTAGCGTGCACTACAGTGGGCTGTATCCTCCTCCATTCAGATTACCTGATATTAAATGCACAACAAGGTAATAAAGTATAAAAGAAATTTAACCTTCTGTCAGATTTGTTTTCTCAATAAAAGCTGGTGTCTGAAGCTGGGTGCTTCTTTTATGATCTGTTGTTAATGGTCATGTAAATCTTTCAAGACTTGCTTGATCCTTCTTGGCTTAATTCAGGTTTCAGTTCAGTCTGTGAATGTGATTATAAATGCTTGGCATTTTGAAGAAGGATCATTTGCAAGTCTGTTTGTTTTCAGTGGTAGTTAAAAGAGGATTTTTCCTGGATTCTTGTGCATTCCATTTGTAGTCAAACATGCAACACATCTGTGAAGTCAGTAAATGCATTCATAGAATTACTTTAAAATACAGTGGTGTTTTTCCTTCTGAGTCTGTGATCAGAGTCAAATTGGGAAGTGCTCACTTTGGCTTTGTGCCCCATTGCTTTTAATATGGTCTCATTTAGTGAAGTGCTTTAACCACAGCTTGCAAACAGGAATGATTAGGCAGAAATTATGTATCTCTCTGGTGACCATTTTGTTTTCAATAAATTTATGTACTTGAGGGTAGCAAGATTTATTGCAACACTAAAGCTGCGCTAGCGGGTTGTTCTTTGCCTGACAGCTCATCCAAAATCAGAGTAAGGATATCAGTATTAGAAACCATGTTGGACGTTTTACTTATACATAAATGTGGGGATTAAATTATATCTGGACTCTGAATGATACTAACTTCCTTAAACTGAAAGTTATTAGGGCTGCTTAATCTGAGTGTAGTCTTCAGATTAATCAGCTAACAATCTATTAAATGCAAAAAACACGTGAGATGGATAGCCAGGCTACATCAGATCAATACTATATTGCAGCAAGTTAAGCCACTGTGTACAGTTTGAAAAAAATTATTTAAAAAAAATTGACAATGGTTAACAATGGTGTTCCTGAAAATATCTGATTTTGTATTAGCCCTGAAATGCAATATAAATGTCTTCTTCAGTTAACCTGCCAATTTTGCAAAACTCCTGCATAATTAAAAGGCCATTCTTTTGCTGATGTTGCTTACAGAAGCAATTTGGAACTCTTCAGTGAATGATTAAACTGATGATAGGCACTGCGCTTCAGCATTAGCCAGCCCCACTCTGAGTTTGCATGGTCTACCACTTCGAGGTTAAGCTGTTGTTGCTTCTAGGTGCTTCCATTTCACAATAAAGGCTTTTACAGTTGAGAAGGCCTGATCTAGCAGCTCAGAAATTTCACAAATTCACTTGCAACAGAAGTGGCATCCTGTGACAGTGCCACATTTTAAGTCACTGAGCTCATCAGTACGACCCATTTAACTGCCAGTGTTTGTCTATCAAGACTGCAAGACTATGTGCTTAATTTTAACTGTTAGCAATGGGTGTGACTGAAACACCTGAACTCAAAAATTAGGAGGTGTGTCCTAATACTTTTGTCCATGATTGAACTTCTAAAATGCACATTTGGGTGCAGCATCCTATTTAAACGGCTCCCAAGAAAGTTATTTGAACGTTTTTACAGTTTCTTTTTCTAAAATTTTACTTTCCCTTGTATTGGAAATGGGGGTAGTTGGGACACATTAAAAACAAAGCTTGTGGAATTGCCTTAATGACAATTTTACATTGTGGTCCCAAGTGAAATGAAAATCATTGCTAAATTCTTCATAAGACCTAATACTTGCATTTGACCATACTCCCTTGTCAAACCATTCATAACTGAGGAGTGATTTGTGTGTGTAGAATATATCTACTGTTCCAGATCGGAGTGTTATGAGGGGTGGAATTGTGACTGCAAATCATTTTTGAATAAAATGAAACCTTTTGGTGGAATAAAGACAATTCAATTTGTAACTTTCTCAAATCTAAATCAAATTCCAACATAAAAAAAACTGTTCTTTAGGAATGTGAAACCAAAAGCTGTCACAGTCCATAAAAAATATTTGAACTAGTTGGTTTTCATTCTTGCGTTAATACTATCAAAATGAATGGCTTTAAATCCTCCATCCTCAAAGTTCTTCACTATATCAGTCTTTCTAATTAAAGCAGTTTTCTTTTTGCAGACATATATTTAAAGGTAATTTGATTTATAGTCTTAATAGCCCAATTTGGAATAGATATAGAACACATTGAGTAGATTCATCTTGAAATACTCATTTTTGTCGAATATATATGGCCCAATAATGAAATGTCTCTTTGGAATCAAGCACTCAACTGAGCCTCGCATTTGTTCACTTTCCTCAGAAGATATTCAGAAACGCTATAGTTTTCTTATCATCTTTGGATAGTTGAATGTCAAGGTATTTCACAGTTGATTTAATTGGAATGCCATGGACTTCCATTAGAGGAGAGTCATGAATTGGCAGTAGTTCACATTTGTTGAAGATTTAGTCTTAATCCAGAGGTTTTAGAAAAGAGTTCTATCAAGTGCATCACTTTGGGAACTTGCCGACTGTTTCATTAACAAATAGCTGTATAATCAGCCATTTGACTAACTGCAAACTCTGCCAAACACATTTAATTTGTCAAAATCAGAGTTTTTGATAATGAAAAGGAGACATGAGATCAGACAACCTTGATTTATTCCTTGTCTTATTTCAAATCTAGGCTTTGTACCTTTAAGTAAAGAAACAGAGTTATTAGTTCCCTATATTTTAGAAAAGTCTAGAAGTAAAATATAACCATCCTTACTCATGTGATTGTTGAATAACAAATCAAATAACACTGGAATGTTTTCATGAATTGATATGCCTTCATAAAGCTAGATTGTGTTTTAGAAATAACTGAGAATAGACCACTTTTCAGTCTATTTGCGTAGATATGAGTTAACAATTTATAATCAGCATTAAATAAAGTTACTGCCCAAAGGTTGTATTCTGGGGTCTTTCTCTGTTTTTGGAACTTGTTTTCATTGTGAGTGGGAGTGACAGATTATCTTCGGTTAGCTAGCTGTCAGGAAATGTGTTTGGTCTGCGCCTGGCATTTAGTTTAGGTGCGATCTCCGTTAATAAACTATGACACATCAGCAAACTCATCCATGTGTGAATTACTTCCAAGCTTCGTGCACATACAAATGTACAGCATATACAATTCCTAAAACACACTAAGAAGGTACTAATCTAATGTGACTGTATATGGAGTAAGTCATGGCTGGAGTTAGTTAGCTACAAGTTTTAGGTCTAATCTCACGCTGTAACGCCACACTCAGCATTTCTCATGCATTTTTACGTCTCTTCTCAAAACAAACTTCTGATTAATCCGAACGCTCATACCTTTTCCTACTACTGCCAAAGATCAGCCTCTCTGCTACTGCTTAGCTTTCTTTGATGAAAACACTCTGGACCATCAACGGCGGTTAGCTAGTACATTTACAACAGCGGTTAGCTAGTACACTTTACAACGGCGGTTAGCTAGTACACTTTACAACAGCGGTTAGCTAGGGTAGTACACTTTACTAGTACACACTAGTCAGTCACTGCCGTCGGGGTTGTCACGATCATGACATTTTAATTTTGATTAACAATTTAATGGTCTTTTCTTTTTCATTGCTTGCAACTATTAAAACACAAGCATGAAGTGGCCAAACTGACTAATTAGCCATTTTACTTAGTTGTTTGCTGGGTAACACTGGTTGTACTGTCGAATCACACTCTCACAAATATCTACAGTTACACAGAATCACGTGTAAACTAGGCTATATGTTTTCACGGGAAGGAAATCAAGCAAAACACACCCACTCTGCCAGCATACATGCTAAAAACATTAAAATTACCCTGCTGAAACAAACAGCACAGACCAGCAACAGGCTTTCTTAAAGCTAAACAGTAAGCAGTGCTAAAACCAGGCCTTATCCATTTTAAGTTAGCTTTGAATTCAGTGGCTGGTGAATACTTTGTCCCTGCTGCACTTCTGGTGACCGTTAACTCTTTAAACCGGTCTGTATTCTATATTCTCTGTAATGGGACTGTATTCTGCCCTCATTAGACCAGGATGACCGGTTCAGTGGAGAGCATAAAACATCAGTAGTAGCTTTCAGTCTTTGTTCCTCCGAAGGCTTTAATGTGTTCATTTAGTCGCTTAATGTGATTTAACATTATTTTATGGGTAAGTTATTAAGCAAAAATCCAATTATATGATTTAATATTAGATCTTAATTAAATGAAATAATGGTTTTATAATTAATTAATAAATATGGTGTTGAAACAGATTTGAGCACTGAAAATATTTGATTCATATAACATTTCAGATGGAATTTTAGTGGCTGTACACACACATATATACAATAAAATACCTGTTTTCTACAAGCGGAGCTTAAGATAAGAAATCTCGCGATGTCTCGTCTCCTTCATCGCTCGTGCTCTGAATGTGAAAGCGTGCGCGCACATCCTTGCTCAGCGGAGGCCGTGTCTGTTTGGAGAGAGGAGAAGAGAGGAGAGGAGAGGAGAAGTGCTGAGGTGAGCCGAGCCAGTCCTTACTGCCATGTTTACACTCCTGTTTGTACCGTTAAACATGCAGCTACGCTTATAGAAGAATCCTATAGTGAAACGAGCTGCTTGTTGTGCATGTGCGGCTGAACGGAGAGCGGACAGCGCAACTGTTTCGCCCTGTTTTGCTCAGAGGACCGTCCAGCGGAAAAAAAAGAAGTGGTTCTGAAACGTGTTAGCAGCTGCCGAGTATATCATCGGTTCCGCTGTGTGTTTTAAGCGGATAGAGAGGATATGACTGGTTTTGTAGTCCACGTAGTCCGCTGTACGGACACTCAGACGGTGTCGAAACGGTTTAAGGTTAGCGGTAGTTTTCGCGGATAAGCCCGAGCCCGGCTAGCTCTCCCAGCCCTCTCAGCTCAGAGAGAGAGAGAGAGAGAGAGACCGTGTCAAAGAGCCACATTGTGCTTGGCGGAATTAAAGCGGCAGTCTTCCACATGGGGAGTGAATAAATACAGCACAGCAGCAGCCATAGTGCCCAATATTCAGATATTAATTAAACGTTTACTGCACGGCTCAGTCAGACACCGGCTGTGGTCAGGATTCATTTGTGCAATAGAGTAGCTAGAACAGCGGAAATTACCAGAACGATGCGGTTTTTGACGTTTACATGTTCACATCTTTTGAGTTCAGAGAATTTAATCTGTTAATCGTACTGTTCACTCATCTTTCAGTCTTGGCTTTTCAGTGTAGCTTCTCTTAGTCTGCTGTATGAGCCAGTGACCCAGTATTGCTGGGTAAATTTAGAGCACTTCTGTTGTGTGCTGCCCATATACAGTTAACAAACTACAGCATACAGTAGTCCACAGTCATTTCTAGGTTAACATGTCTCTAAACCAGGGCTATTACCCAGTGAGTGAGTGGCCCAGTTGAGTTTTCCTTAGTGTGTTAATAAGGTACAGTCTGTACACAACTAAATATATTATCATACTTTGAAATATAATAAAAAAATAAATCAGTAGTGTTGTAAAATCAGTGTACTAATTCCACGAGTATATAAACATTCATTCTACAACCACAGACTAGCTTTCATAACTGCAAATTCCTCTTTTCCTCTTTACAGTTGCGTATTTGTGCTCTCCTCTGATGAAATGCGCTGAATTATGTTAGTCATGAGATCCTTCCTAGAGTGAACCTTTTCAGCATTCAGCGTCGTTAAAGTAACACCACCATACCATAGGCAGCCGTGTCGGCGCCCACAGTCAAGGGGTTAACTTAGGTTTACTCACAGCTGCCTGTGATTTTGTATGTTTGACTTGAAATTGTTTCTTCACTGTTATGAATTGTGTAAGTAATATACATATTTAGCTTAAAGAGAGGTTTTCATTTTCATCCAGGTTGATATGCCACATGTGTCTTAAAAATATAATATGCTTTGAATCAGACATATTAATGTACTGTATATGAAGTAAACCCTGTTTTCCCTTCTCTGTAGGCTATGATGCTTCCTATTCAGGGTACAGATGGTGGAGTGGAGCTTAGGTGAGAATGGAACACCCTCTATCCAAACCAGACAAAATGGGCAAGTCAAGGCTGTTTCGCATCTTTTTAATTTTGGGCTCTGTCTTCATGATCCTGCTGATAATCATCTACTGGGACGATGTTGGAGCCACTCATTTTTACCTGCACACCACCATCTCTGGTCCTCACTCTTCCCGTCTTCCTCCAGAGGGTCATGCTGCTCCCAAACAGAAATCAGAAGAAGACAAAGATGGCTCTTTCCTGTCTGATATTGATGCTTTTGTCAACCAGTTTTTGGAGGGCACCCCTGATCCGACGGAGCAAGTGAGAGGAGAAACCCCGCCTGGAGAGACACACAACCAGTCTTCAGAAAAACCTGAGGAGAGGTTTGTCCCCAGACGTGAGTGGAAGATCCACCTGACCCCGATAGCGATAGAGAAGAAGCAGAGGCAGGACAGCAGGAAGCAGATGATCCATGATCTGTGCAGCAGCAACAGCAGCTTGGACTTCCCTGGAAAGAACAGGACATTTGATGACATCCCCAACAAGGAGTTGGATCACTTGATTGTAGATGACCGGCATGGCATCATCTACTGCTACGTTCCCAAAGTGGCGTGCACCAACTGGAAGCGCATCATGATCGTGTTGAGTGAGAGCTTGCTGGTGGACGGTGTACCCTACCAGGACCCTCTGGATGTTCCTGCAGAGCTCATCCACAACAGCAGCTTGCACTTCACTTTCAACAAGTTCTGGAAGCGCTACGGAAAGTTCTCCCGTCACCTGATGAAGATCAAGCTGAAAAAGTATACCAAGTTCCTGTTTGTCAGAGACCCCTTTGTGCGACTCATCTCTGCCTATCGCAACAAGTTGGAGCAGGAGAACGAGGACTTCTACAAGAGATTTGCCGTCATCATGCTGAAAAAATATGGCAACTATTCCGACCCACCAGCCTCAGTGGTGGATGCTTTTGCTGCTGGTATTCGACCAACCTTTTCAAACTTTATTCAGTATTTGTTAGATCCTGACACTGAGAAAGCAATGCCCTTTAATGAGCACTGGAGACAGATGTATCGGCTGTGCCACCCTTGCCAGATAAACTATGACTTTGTGGGAAAGCTGGAGACCTTGGACGAGGATGCCGAACATTTGTTACGGATCCTGCGTGTGGACAATGTTGTTGAGTTCCCACCAAGTCATCGCAACAGGACAGTGAGCAGTTGGGAGCAGGATTGGTTTGCCAGCATTCCATATGAATCCCGGAAAGAGCTGTACAAGCTCTATGAAGCTGATTTCAGACTGTTTGGATATTCTAAACCTGAGAAGCTTTTACATGAGTAAAGTTTGGTTTCTGGTTTACCTGTTTACTGTTTTGTGTAATTCAGTTTAACATTTTAGGTTATTGAAGAGGATCTGTAGGATTCTCTTGTTTTGCTCCTTATGCGTCATTTCTATGATGCAGTGAAGTCTGCGTTGATGAGTGCATTGGAAAGGATGTAAACATCTTAGAGATCACTGAAGGACATAGGACAATACTGAAATTACGTACATGTTCTTTCTTCCAAAAACACTCCATTTGGCATGCAGTACTGTATATTCCAATGGGTTGAAGTGGTAGGTTGAAGTAATTATTCTAGGTAATCACAGCAGATAGCATAAATATCTTGCTTTTAATTTTTGGTATTGTTTTTTTTATTGTAATTTGTTCTTGCAGTTTTTACTTATGATTCATATTTGCTGTTAAAATAAGTATGCAGCTTAAACATAAGACTATCGTGATAAGATATGCTAGATTTACTGCACATTTAGGGCAGTGCACATAGAATATTTAGAATATTTTTGTATTTTTTGCTATTAAATGTGAAAGAGGCGCCAAAAGAAGCTAGCTACTATTTTGAAAGAACAGACTTTTAACTTTATATGGCTTCCTTTTCCTTTGCGAAAGGATACACTGCACTCCTATAGCGGTTAAAGAACTTTATGTTTAAGAACAAAACTTTTTGTTTGTTTGAGCTTGTCAGGCTTAATTTATGCAGAGACATCACCTCATTTTTGTCGCGATTTTTGTTTACCCACCTCAGGATGCAAACAGTAACATACTTTTTCGAGACCTCATTTTATTTTAAATGTAACCGGTGCAAATGAATTTGTAGGTGTTTGAAAAAAAGACCTAATAAGTGCTGGTAATCCACACAAGGTATTTCTGTCACTGATGTGCAAAGAAACATTATTACTGCAGAGCTGCTGTTTTTCAGTGTGCGAACGGACATCAAAAGAACGTTTCCTTAAAGCGAGGCGAATATCTGAGGCAGGGGGTTGTCAGATTGCAGCTTGTGTTTGTCCGTGGCATCTCTCTTCATTTTTTTTTTTATCCTTTTCCTTTTTGATCCGAGCATCCGTTCCCCTGGCAGGAAGCTGTTGCCGGATAACTCTTATCATTGGCGTGCCATAGATTCTAGCATGTGTGCCTTGCGGTTCGTTTTTATAAATATGCATCTCTCGAGAGACCTGGCGGTGTGGGCAAAATTAAACGTCTTGTTTGTTCTGGTAAGACGTAGCATTTATAAATAGATTCCTGGGTTGCATATTGTTTTAGAGGATAAATGCAGGCACAGCGGTTCTGTCTGAGTAAGCCTGATTAGGCTTCTGTTCTTAGAGGGAGGTTAAAGCACAAATAATTGTCTGAGGCCCTTAAACATTTTCCAGTTTTGTTTTTTTCTCTGCCTGTTTTACTGTAGCATCAACAAAGTATGTTATGCAGACTTGGGCATGTGCAAATGGGTTTTTTATGATCGTGTAGCTTGAAGTTGATTTCATTTGGAAAGGTATTTTAATCGTGGTGTCGGTGCACTGCGTTTTGCACATTGAATCATTTTGTATTAGATATGTATGTGTGTTTTTTCAGAAACAGGAACATGTTAGTTTTGCTTTTGGCTTGGGAGGCATATGGAGAGCAGTGGAGCACAAGGGTAGAGTGACCCTCCTGTAGGTCAAGGGCTGGAGGGCCCTCAGGGCAAACCATGATCAGCAGCTGGTCCAGGAGGCACTGCACCAGATTGGCCGCGTGCTAGCAGTGCCTTTCCTAGAGATGAGGACAAAAAGTTTACACTCAAAAGATATACAATGTACAGGTATTTTTGTAAGTGCGTCATATTTTGACCTTTGCGAACAAAACAGTTAGATTACAGAAAGAAATAATAAATAGGAAATAATTTAATAGGATCTATGTGTCGTGAAATACTTGTAAGCTTATTTTTTGCCACTGTGCTTGCTGTGCTCTTGAGATTTATCTATACGTTCAGTGCTTTTCCATTGTTTCAGTGCTGTTACGTTGTGCTTGCTAGGACGCTGCATTCCTGCGTTTTACCGAAGGGAACGTTTTATCACTCATCCGTACAGTATGCTGCCTAATGCTGTTGAATATGTTTGTGCAAAATGTCTCACCCTATGTTTTTCTGGTCATCCTGTGCCACAGTATTTGTTAAAAAGATGAGAAATTGCAGGTACATGCTCTTTTAGTGAATGCTGTGAGATCAAGAAAAGAATTCATTTCTACTTTAGATGTTTCTCAGACATATAAGTTTCATGTATGCATGGGTTTCCTAATTTTAAGGGACATCATTATGTTTGTGTTTAGAAAAAAATAAAGAAGGGATGTATTTCTCAGTATCATCAATATCACATCAGCTTGTAGCTGAAAAAATATCCAGTGAGTTCATCTGGATTACAGTTTTGCATTTGGTTGTGTATTTTTTTCCTTTTTATTTATTACAGTTTTAAGAAGCTTTGTTATGCGATCTCAAGAAAAGAAATAAAGCTTAATGCATGGTGCAAACCCTGATAGATTTTTATCTGACATTCATTGAGTTGAGCCAAAGTTCAAGATCTGACCTTCATAAAAAGAGCATAATCAATTATTTGTTGCCGCAAGACCCTTAACATCGTTTTTAAGCTTCCGAATGCGAATCATATCTCCAGCTAGAGGCAATTTCAAAGAGTCTCTCTGGTGTTGCCCTTTTGACAAATGACTGGCCAGTATGTCAGTGCTCTAATGGCTATTCCAGAAAAGCGGTTGATAATAGAGCGCTGTTTTGCAGCAGTGAGTCACTGGTTCCATTCATTAGTGTGTAGAATCTAGTTGGTGTATTTCTTACCAGCCACACTAGATGGCAGTAAAGCACTCTGTATTAATTTAGACATTCAACTCCAAATATTACCCATCACTGAGTTTGGCCTTATCTGCAGCTGCACCGCCACTAATGTAGATCACATTTAAGCATGTGTTGAAATCTTCTCAGAGCCTTTGTGAGCCATATTTGTGTGATATTTGTGAATACATTAAACATGTTGAGAGGTGATACACAAATCACACTCTAAAAAAAGAGCAGCATTTTATTGTGATTATGAAAATGTTACACAAGCACTAGCCTGTGAGAAACAAGCTGCCTGCCCTACACTTTGTTTTTGGAAGGTTCACTTACATGGAGAAATCATGCTAATTATAATAATTACTGTACAGTTAGTATAGTGGACTTAGACTGCACCTGGTACTGTGTCATCTCTGCTAAAAATCATCTTTTGGTTTTCTGAGAAACCTTCAAGAACAGGGCTGCCCAGAAGTGTGACCTGTGGGCCACCCCACCCACCACCCACCCCCTCACCTAATGAGGGAACAAACACATTGTGGCTGTCCAGTAGTAACTTTACAGGAGAGGGAAAAACCTTTTGAACTTTTAATGTAAATAAATGTAAGTATATTTTATTCCAAGTGATTTGGGAGAATTTTTATACGTCAGTTCATGAAATTTTCATGCCATGTAAAGTGCAGCCGCCATTCAAATAATGTAAAAAAATACAAATCAACAAAAATGGAGATACATGTTTTTTTTGGACAATTTCCATATAGAACTTAGTGAATTGCGCTTATTATTGTTGTATTTTTAAAGTATTTTAGTAACAAAATGTGGTATTATGTTATAATACTATATTATTAATATATATTATAAAATACCTATTTAATTTTGAATCCTACCTTCTTTATTTTAATTGTATGTTGTTTTGTCTTCTTGGCCCTCAGCCCACCACAAACATTGGACCCCCAAGACCAAAAGTTTGGGCACCACTCGTCAAGAACCTGCTCCATTTTGCTCATCCTGTTTGGAAAAATTTCTACATTGACACAGTTTTCCCTGTAACCTAAGCATAATCAGTCAGCTTCTCAGATGGTACAGCTAATATTGCTAACAAGTAACAGATGCTTGTACACCAGTGACAAAGACATGGATAGATTTAGTCTTAAAAGATGGCTGCTGCTACTCAGAGGTGATCAGAGGTACTTTTGTGCATTTTTATAGATAGCAATATTTAATACAGTGTCAGAAACCACATATGCGTAGGTAGCTTTGCAGTTTCTACAATAAGATTTTTTAAAGCTTTTTTTTATTAGCCATGTTGCAGTGCAAACCCTGCTGGAAAAAAACACCATAAAACAGCATGGCTGGTCACCAGCAAAACCAGCATATGTTGTGTTTTGGATGCTGGTTAACCAGCATGACCATACTGGGTCCAGCTAAACCAGCACCAGACCAGCGTAAGCCAGCTTCTGGTCTGTGCAGATATTTTCTGAGAAAGCAGCCTTTAGTTTTCCTTTGTGCTTTCTCAGGTGTCATGCAGGCCTGCTGGACTGGACAGCCACTGAGCCTGACTTCTTCTGGCTGCGTAAAAGGTCAGTGCATGAAACACCCTGGTGAGCGGCTGGTGCAGACGGCGGGCTTGGTCCGTCCATGTGGCCCCCGCACGCAGATCACCGGCAGCATTGCTCTATCTCACCCTGTCCTAGTGGTCACTTGAGTCATAGCTCTCCGCTGCCAGATGGGCAGACATTTCCCCAGCCAGTCGTTTCCATGCCACATAATACAGTCAGGTAGAGCACAAAGACTTACAAACCCTTTTAAAATGTCATCCGTACTTAGAATAAGCAGACTAAAAAGCAAACCTGACACTGCTTCATGACTGTTCCGCTTTTTCTCTTCAAGAAGCCTTGCAGCGAAGAAAGGTAAGCACGGATACTGTTCGAGGTTTCTCGCCCACCGCTCTGAAACGAAGAGTCAAGGCTCTGAAGGCATGAAAGGCCCGATTTAGCGATTAACTGCGCTAGTCCAGTTCATCTGGATGCGGTGCTTTTTGAACGGGGGTGCTCTTTCAGCTGTCAGTAAAAGGGGGCTGATTGAATTCGTCACCAAGTTTGATGCGGAATGCTATTTGAAGGATCTGCCTGATGTAAATCGTTTGGGATTGAAGATGTTTGTGTTATTAGTTTGGCATAGGCCACCACAAGCTGCCTATTTCTTTCGCTCTGAGATGAAGGCAAGCCATGATTTCCATCCTGCTTATCAAGTGCTGACAGCAGGAAGATTGGAGGCAAAGCGGATAACTGGAGTAAGAGAAAACCCATTATCCACTGCGTGCCAGTGGCATTCAAATGAGACTTCTGTCTTCAAATGAGATGGCTTTAGATCCACAGGCTATATTAAGTAGATTATTACTTACTTCTTCACGCGTATTATCTACTCAAACATCCTTGAATTCCGAACTTGTCGCTAAAGTCCATATTTGCCTTTTTAAAATGAGCCCACACTTGCTTTACTTCGGGATTGCGCAGCATTGCTTCGGGCACCAGGGCCCAGGTGACTAATTACTGCTGCAAAGGCAATTTGGCACAAGAGACTTGGATCATTTGAACTATTAATGAATATTCATCTTCATATTCTGCTCTCACCTTTGTATGTAGGGATATTTTGCTGGAACAAACAACGTTGCTGACACATAGCCAAGTCTGATTGATTTCTCTCGACAAAAGGACAACCTCATTAAAGACCCTTGTGACCTCAGTGTTGTCGTCTTGAATTAAAGAGAAGACGAGATACCTGTTAAGATTCCAGGCCCCTCTGTGAAATGGCCGAAGGGCTCAGCAGGGAAAAAACCAATTGTGTGAACTGTTTTAATCCACTTGAATGCCAAAAAGATATGCGCCGCTCCTACTTTGGGCTTTGTTAATTGAATCAGGGCTGCCGATGGATCTCATCCACGCCCCCTCCGCCCCCCCAGCACCCTCCAGCACCGCTGGGATTTTTGGAGTGGTCGTTAATGAATGCTGACACGCTCCCCAAGACTATCACTATTCTTTCTTCCCTACTGGTGCGCTCCCTGTGCTTCCTGGTTATCGTCTATTAAAGGCTCTTTAATGAAATATGCTAATGAAATCTCTGATATGGGAAGTGTATTTTTTATGAAATTCAAATTGCATATATCTTCCAGCACTGTGTGTGTGCTGGGTCGTGCAGGAATTTGCTTCAGTCATAAACTGTGCTTTAAGTCCAAAAGATATCCAGACATCTCTAATTATCTTGTAAAATCTCCAAAGAAAAGCACAGCCAATAGTATGGGACGCTTTGGAGCAGCGGCACATGAGTAGTTACCATTCTCAATGCCGGGCGTCAGCTGGAGGTGTATAAAACCCCCCAGCATTGGGCTGTGGAGCAGTGGACCTGTGCTTTCTGGAGTGATGGAGCTCCATCCAGTACCTTTGGGAGGAGCTAGAGTTGAGTTTGAGATCCAGAACTAATTATCCAACATCAGTAGCATCTAGTGTACAGATCTAGTGTAAAGCCTTCTAAGAAGAGTAGAGGCCATAAAGGGGGACAAACTCGGTGGATGGATGGATGGATGGATGGATGGATGAAAGAACTTTTCATGATCCTGAAGGGAAATTGCAATATGACAGTAGTAAGACATATACTCACATATATTAGGCAGAAAGAAAATAGACATAAATTAGAGTAAACTATGAGAGAGTAGGAATAGAATTATAATGTAAATAATGTATTTTCATGAGCGCTGGTATTGCACTAAATGGTATGAGGCAGCTTAAAATACAAGGAGTATGAACACAACTTGAAGTAGCAGCAATATTTGCAGTCTAAGAGCGTAGTGAGAAGTGTCCTCACAGTAGCAGGTTATGATATATTGCACAGTGTTCATTAACAAGAGAGGTGATATAGTGATGTGATTCAGCACAGTTCAGACTGCAGGATGTCAGTACTATTTCTGCAGTAAGGAGACTCGTTGTGGAGCTTTATAGCACAGCGCAGCTGTAACATTCTGCCTCTGAATGTGCTTCTCTGTTTTTTTCAGTGTAGTATGCAAGGGGTGTGAGGTATTTTCCAAGATGGCTTATTGAGAGTCCTATGTTCTGCCACAACCCCCCAGAGTCCAGCTTGACTCAGTCAATAGGAAGTACTCACGGATTCGGCCTTCCTAGTACATAGCGTGAGTGTTGCAGTTCCAATGCAGTTTGTTGTCCAAGTGCACACCCAGATACTTGTTTGTCCCTACCACCTCCACATCTACTCCATTAATGGTGACTGGTGACAAGGCAGGTTTAGACTTCCTAAAGTCCAGCACCATCTCTCCAGCACTAATACCCTTGACTTCTGAGGAAAGTTGGATGAGCAAGTGTCTACAAATTGTTTTTGACATTTAATATGTTTGCCTAGGAGAACAGGCAATAGTCATTAGATCTGAAACATGGGTATCAGTGGTAGGTTGGTTATGACAGGCTCTTCTAGCCTGTCTGAGGCAGAGAGCTGGACTGTTTGAGTATAAATGTCACTAGATGCTTGAAGGCAGACGTTCATGATATCAGATATGAAAGCTGTTGACCCAAAACCTGTTGATATTCAGAGTCATTCTAAGCATTACCTGCATTATATCCTCAAAGAGAATATTTTAGAGCATTTTAATGATTCTCTGTGATTTAAATGCTTCAAAGAGTTGGTATAG